TGTGTGTGTGTGTGTGTGTGTGTGTGTGTGTGTGTGTGTGTGTGTGTGTGTGTTGTTTGGAGCTATTAAGTGCAGAGTTTCCCACCCTGCTGGAATGAAGCCAGCTCCTTCATCCCGTTGCCGCAACGGAGGTTTAGGTCAGACGCTAGGAGACGCTGTCTGGCTGCCAGGATGACAAAGTGCTGGGACAAATGTCCAAGGGAGGTTGTGGAGTCTCTGTCATCAGAGGTTTTAAGAGCAGGTTAGAAACCCCTCGGTGAGGGATCTAGATCATATTTAGCCCTGCCTAGGTTGCCTGACTAGACCGAGGGCCCTTCCAGTCCTACATTTCGGGAGCGGAGATCCATGGGAAGGAGGCCGGGTGGGACAGCGCTCCGTTTGGAATGCTGAGCGGGGACCCACCGGTGCGCAGGGTCCCTCTCTGGGCACCGTCCAAGCCCCTGGCCAGGCAGGGGGACGTGTGAGGGTGGAGAGGGAGGGGCCGGGCTGGGTGAGGGACTCTCCGTGGTGACTGTGGGTGGGGAACGTCTTCCTGGTCAGAGCCAGACCCCGGGGCCGGCAGGGACAGAGGGCTGTGGAGGATGTGGGGTGTTTTCCGTGCTAGCCGCTCCCCCATTTTCCTAGGCCTCGGCTTCCAACTTCTCCACCCTCCCTCGCGTCCAGCCGGCATTGCCGCCCCAGCCTCGCCCCTGCAGTCTCCCCGACACATGCCCCGATCCCCAGCCTCACCTTGGAGAAGGACGCCTGGTGCTCCCCTGCCCCTGGCATCTGCTGACGGCCGGCCGCACCTGAACGAAGATAAACCCCAGCAACCAGGCTCCGGGGGCGGCAGAACTGGCCTTAATTAGAACCCAGGAGTCTGGGACTGAGAAAACATTCATTAGTGCCCATCTGAGCTGCCCCAAGGCTGGGGGGTCTCCAAGGTCCATGGACTCCTGCCCTCTGGGGAGGTCTCCTGCAGACCATCATCTGGTGGCCAGTCACCGACTCCAGTCTCAGAGGGGCAGCCGTGTTATCCTGTGTCTGCAGAAACAATGAGGAGCCCAGCTAGGCTGCACATGCTGACAGTCCTCAAAAATCGCAGGGCCCCTCCCTATCACAGGTGCAGCGTGCCTCAGTTTACCAGTGTGCCCTAAAAGCCCCCATGTCCTGGCCACCATGTGTGAGCACTTGTAGTAAGACCAAAGCTGCCTTGTTGAAGAGCGAACAAGGATTTCCATCGGCAGCAAAAGGGAACCGTTCTGACACCAAAGGAGCCCTGGCTAGTGAAGTCGGTTTCCCTCTTCTGCCAAAGATCAGATCATTGGAACCTGCTTCCGGGGTCCTTCAGAACCAGGATCCAAATGTGCACAAAAGCCCCCTCGGCAAGGACTTATCCTCAGGGAACAGAGCCTTTCCTGACTAGCTCCTGCCTGCTGTGATAGCCCATGTTCCAGCGCTTTTTGACTCTATGGACATGCAGTTAATCTGTGGAACTCACTGCCAGGGGACGGTGTGGCAGCCAAGACTAGAACCCAGCTCGAAACAGAAGGAGACATTCCTGGGGACCAGTCCTTTGAGGGGTATTAGCAGGGATGGGACTGTCAGTAGTAATCATAGAATCACAGAATACTAGGACTGGAAGGGACCTCGAGAGGTCACCGAGTCCAGTCCCCTGCCCCCATGGCAGAACCCAGCACTGTTTAAACCATCCCTGATAGACACTTACCTAACCTACTCTTAAATATCTCCAGAGATGGAGATTCCATAACCTCCCTGGGCAATTTATTCCAGTGTTTAACCACCCTGGCAGGTAGGATGTTTTTCCTCATGTCCAACCTCAACCTCCCTTTCTGCAGTTGGAGCCCATTGCTTCTTGTCCTGTCCTCAGAGGCCAAAAAGAACATTTTTTCTCCCTCCTCCTTGTGACACCCTTTTAGATACCTGAAAACAGCTCTCATGTCCCCTCTCAATCTTCTCCTTTCCAAACGAAACCAGCCCAGTTCTTTCAGCCTTCCTTCCTAGCTCATGTTCTCTAGACCTTTCATCATTCCCGTTGCTCTTCTCTGGACCCTCTCCAATTTCTGCACATCTTTCCTGAAATGCGGCGCCCAGAACTGGACACAAAACTCCAACGGAGGGCTAACCGGCGCAGAGCAGAGCGGAAGAATGACTTCTCGTTCTTGCTCACAGCTCTCCTGTCCATGCCTCCCAGAATCAGGTTTGCTTTTTTTGCAACAGCGTCGCACTGTTGGCTCATATTTAGCGTGTGGTCCACGCTGGCCCCTAGATCCGTTTTTGCAGGACTCCTCCCTAGACAGTCGCTTCCCATTCTGTGTGTGTGGAATGGATTGTTCCTTCCTAAGCGCAGCCCTTTACATTGGTCCTTATTCAACTATTTCGGGAGTACCTCCGACCATTTCTCCAGTGCGTCCCGATCAGTTTGAATTCTGACCCTCTCCTCCAGAGCGGTAATGCACTAGAAGACTCAGCTGGTGTTGCTTGGATACTCCAGGGCAGGGGTTTGGGGATGTGGGGGCTGGGGGAAGGAGACTGCGAGTGCAGGGGGGTGCAGGGATCACAGGTAGGGGTTGAGGAGGGTCTAGGGAAGGAGGCTGGGGGGCATGGGGAGGTTGCAGGAATCAGGGTTGGGGGGGGAGGAGGGTCTCAGGACACAGGATGGGGTACAGGAGTCAGAGCAGGGGGTGCAGGCAGCTGGCATCTTCTCCTTGGGGCCGGTCCAGGGTGATGGTGGCCATGCAGCCCTGCCTGCTGGCTTCTCCCCAGAGCTGGCCTGGGCCAGAGCAAGGGGGGTCGCCCCCTTGCTGGCTTCTCTCTGGGCTCGGC